GTGTAATTGCCGCTTAATTAAAATAAATTTCATATTATATTAATTAATCACCACTTATTAATCAAGTAAATTAATTAAAAGGAACTTAAATAAACCCATATCGTCTCCTTCCCTCTCCTTCTATAAACCCTCGCCGACGTCCTTCCCCACTCCCGGTTTCGCACAAACCCATCGCCATCCTGATGGAAAGCTCGCGATACAGTCGCTGTTAGAGCTAGCTTTGAAGGCAACTACGGGCTCGGGGCGTACAAAGACCTCCGAAACTTCCATCCTTCTTCTCCTTCTGCTCCCTTTGTACCAAAAACCATTGGGAAGGTAACCCTTCCGCTTCTCTAAATCCTGGTAGATCCGTCTCCCAATGGGATACACTAAATCCAGGATTTAAGTCAAAACGGAGGAAAAACATGCTTTAAGAAGCTGTGGGATTTTGTTCAAATACTGACACCAAACAACCCTAGTTTTAGGTTAAATCCTGCTACTGAACAGCCCCTTTATTGAAGAGGACGGGAGAAGGATGACAGCGGGGGTGGCGGAGTTCGTTAGCGGCATGGATGACTGTCGGCTGAAGCCACAGATGCTCCGTTCTGTGGTGCGTGATGGCCTCCCCGACGAGAAACGACCATTCCCTAGAACAGCAGAGCTCGCAGCTGTGCTCTCTCGAGTGCGAACGCATGGACTCCTCTCGGAGAGCTACTCGGACACCGCGGGACGTAAGCTGATTGAGGCGTGGAGGTCTGCCGTCGACACCTGGGTCGAGCGTATTGTTTCTCTCGCTTCAAGCAGCGCGGTAGTTTATTTTACCTTTTCTTTATAACCACTCTCTTTAGCTCATCAGAATTCTTCCCACTTCCAGTTGCATTGTTAGATTCTGGAAAATTGCAATTTTACCAGTTCAAATTTTTTACTACTGTCGAAAGACCTTGTTTAGTTGACTCTCTGGTTTGCATTTAATGATCTAGCCTGACAGATGTTGGGCGGGAAGTTGTTTGCTTGGGGTGACATGCGAAGAATGCTGCTCCGATCGTTTCCAGTCATCGTACACTATTTGGTTTCAGAAACTGCTGGAGAACTTTCAGGTATTGTACCCCAATTCATATGTATCTACATATCTAACAGCTAAACTTCAATTTTCACATATATGGCAACTTACCAATGCATGAAAAGGTGTATTTCACTTTTT